GAGGAGTGGCTTGAGAGACGCTACGGCGTCCTCACCTACCGCCTGACGCAGGTCCTCACCGGACATGGAAGTTTCGGGAGGTACCTGTGTCTGATGGGGGGGAGGAAACGCCCGGGTGTCATCACTGCGAGGACCGCCCTGAGGACACGGTGGAACACAGTGGGAGAATGCCCTGCGTGGGCTGAGCACCGCCGTGCCCTCAGGGAAGTGATCGGCGATGGCGACCTCTCGCGTCCGGGCCTAGTGCAGGCCATGATGCGGAGCGAGGGGGACTGGGATGCCGTCTCCTCCTTTTGCGAAGCAGTCATGCTAGCTAAGGAGGAGGCGGGACGCGTGAGGCAGCGAAGCGCTGCCTCCTCGCAACCCAGCCATCGCGAAGGACACACCGGGCGTCGGGGATCGCGGGACGATCTCCGGCCACCGTAAGCGCGGGCCTGCGGACGGCGAGCATGGGTGGCTCCCCGTCCGACCAGAAACAGACCCGAGCGTGCGGCGCGTCGCGTTCCGCGCGCGCCTCAAAGAGCCATCAGACCACCACAGATGGGGCCCAATAGGGCCGATGCCGATTCGGAGTCGCGGAGAACCTAACGGGTAACCGGGGCTCCGGCTCGACGTGCAGGAGAAGGAACGGGGTGGTTTTTAGTCAGTAAGAGTCTGACACTCCCTTCCGCCTCACCCAGGCGGGAGCAGTCATTCGATGATTTTCCCCCCTTAAAAAAAAAAAAAAAAAAAAAAGACTTTGGTGCATATTGTTTACCAAGGATGCACCAGTAAACAGTTTTTGTACAATCTATTGTTCCCGTCTATATCCAATACCATTTAAACTGTCAAACACCGCGAGGACACCGGTGACCACAACCTATTGTTCTTTAATTGTGTCTATAATGACGGTACTCAAAGAGTAAATTTGATTTTAGTGCGATTCTCAGTCACATTTTAAGCGTCTTGGGTATTTTCAAAATTGTTAATTTTGTTTTTTATGATATAAATATTGGCTGTATGTCTAAGGGGGTGTGATCGGGGCATCTGAATAGAAGTTTGATTGCGCATAATGTAATGATGGAATTTCTATAATAATATCGCAATTTTCATTAGTTGCATTGTATGTAAGATAGATTCTAGACTCGTGGCCACTCTGTTAAATTGGACCAGCGAGTTACGAAAAGTGCATACTAAAAATACTTATTTTCCCTTTATAAAAGTAATATTTAGCTAAGCAAATGAAATGAGATGTCAGTATGCGTGTAGTACCTACTACCAAATAGAGGGAAGGTACTCTAATTCACTACATGTAGCTGCCATTATGTATTGAATTTTATCTCGAATCGGTGATTTCCATTAAATGTAACATTGCATTCTAAGCTGGTTGAAAGATTGACTTTACACTTTACGGAGATGTTATAAGGCTGAATTTAAAATAACACGGAAAAAGCATTACATTATTGGAAAATGAAGCTTGATGCGTCCCTACAATTTGGCTCCAACTACATTTTGGACGACCAAAAATGTTTTAGAGGATTTTGTGTGTAGATGTGTGTCCTATGTGAAAAGTGGATGTTACATTGTACTTTTTTCCCTTAATGTGCACCTCTGCCTAGTCCTTCGGGGATAAAAGTCGTGATTTTATGTTTTGTATGGTTATGTATATGTACTCACATAATTATCATGCGGTTGATTTAAAATACATTTATTTAGCATCGTATAGCATTTTTATTTTGCTTCTATTTATAAAGATGAATGGTATGTTTACAATCTATTGCAATTAGGGACATAACATGTAATGCTTTTAAGGATAATTTTCTTACAGAAAAATTAGTTACAGAACTAAGTACTGGAGAATATAGAGTCTTAAAAAACCTGTCAAGGCGGCCACTTTTCGGTTATCGCATGTTGTATGGCCTGCTCTTTGAGTGTGAGGCAACCATAGCAACATTGCGATGGGGTTGCGTCTGACAGACTGACACCTCCATTAGGGCATGTACATAGGTTATAGTGCGCTGTTATATCTCTCCTATGTACTTTGTAAGCCTAATTGCGATCGGCCATCTTGATCAAAACATGTGCAATCATGCATTCATATTTATGGAACAGAGAGTATAGTTCCCTAAGATCGGAAAAGGAGGATCCTTCGACCAGGCGAGGTGATCGAGCCTGGCGGGCTTTCTGCCCAACAGTTGTTCGTTGGGATTTTCTATCCGTGTTAATTTGCATGTAAACTTTGCATGTGCGATGTAGGATTTTTGTGACGTCATCCGTTGACATGTACCATGTGTCGCCACTCATATGTTTACAAGCGTGATAGATAGGATTTATTTTATTTAATTTCGAATCAATGAAGTAATCAAATAGTGTCCTGGTGGCCCGGAGGTTTAAGACGCCCGCCGCTTCTCATGCATGAGGGTGCGGGTTCGAAACCTACCAACGGCAAAGTTATATGCACTTTCTAAGATTATTCAGACACCACTGACAAATGGTGAAGGAAAACATGAGGAAACCTGGGCTTATAATTTCTAATTATGTTTATTTATTATTAATTCGAAATCGCCAACCCGCATTGAGGAAGCGTGGTGATTAATGCTAAAACCTTCTCCGAGTCAGAGAAGGCTTTGCTCAGGAGTGGGCATTATAGGGCGTTGATGTGATGTGAAGTAATCAACTTATACATGGTAAAGCAGATATTCCACCTTAAGTCGTCTGCAAAGAAACAGCACGGAGTCTGGAATTGTGTCCGGTATATGGCAATAGGCTCATTACATGGGACTCATAATATAAATGGTGAAAAGTGGGTGTTACGTTTTGTACAGGGGCATTAAGTACCGTAATGTGTACCTCTGCTTACCCCTTCGGGGATAAAAGGCGTGAAGTTGTGTGTGTTACAATGTTTTGTAACAGAAAGTTTTACTTTGAAATAACCTATAAATTTTAGTAGACGAGCATGATACGCTAATCAATTCAGTGTTGTCTGTTTGTAGTTTTCCAAATGACTGAACAGCGCCCTTATGACGGGTCTCATCAAGTATATGAGCACCACTTGAATGCAACCGTTCGAATTCGTTCGGTTTAAATTGAACCTGGAGTGTTCATGCAGGCTAGACGGCTTTATTGATGGAACTAGCTGTTGCTCGCGACTTCGTCTGCGTAGAATAATGACTTCTGGCAGAATTCATCAGAACCGATTCAGTGAGATTTATTGTGAAATGAATTTACCGTGGATTCAAAAAATAAATAAGTAATTCCACAGAGATTTTACTAGTAGAGCGCCCGTTCCCGTATGGGTTCGTGCTAAAAACTATTCTATCGACTATTTGTTGTATCGAATCTCTCTAAAATAAGTTCAGTAGTTAAAAGATAGAGTCTCGGGGCTTTAACTCATTGTTTCCGTTCCCGTGGGACTTGTGTGATAATAAAAACTACCATGCATACATCAGTTCCAGGTCTCAAATTATCGTTTTACCGAATGTAATACAAAAAGATTCAATGATTCTAGATTTAATAGATTCAATGGCTAAAAATATTTATCCAAACTTTCATCCCCTATTTGGTCCCTTTGGGGGTAGAATTGATCAAAATCTATTCTTAGAGGATAAAATCGATACTAAGTAATATGTAACTGTTTTTGTATGTATTTGCATTTTACATTCACTACCGAGTACAAGATGTCTTGGACTCAAGGCGGAGCGAGGTGTTTAATTGTTTTTTCTTTACCTAGATCTAGCCATTTACCTAGATTTATTGCTACCGGTTGCGAAGGGCTCTATAAACTAGCAACCTTGTCACCCGTGGGTTTATAGTAACTAAATCATGGCTTTGCAAATGTAGTTATGTAAATATTTAAAGCGCCTAAATAACATTGTCAATGGATAAATTCAATAAACTCTCCGTTGGCGTCAATCTAAGATGGTCTACAGGAAATCTATATGAATAAAAATTATTTTCCGCTCGTTAGTCTCGGTAAAACTTGAAAACAGCTAAATAGATTTTGTTAATTGTGATCTTTAAATGTTCGTGGACATCCAGGGAAGGTTCGAAAGGTGAGAAAGAAAATTTGGCACGACGTTTGCCCGTTCAGATAGAAAATAAATTGTACAAACAATGTTTACTAGTTTAGGGAACAGAGTGGGAAGTTCCCTGATATCGGAAAAGGGGGATCCTCCAACCAGGCGAGGTGATCATGCCTGGCGGGCTTTCTGCCCAACAGTTGTTCGTTGGGATTTTCTACTCGTGTTAATTCGATTGTAAACTTCGCATGTGCGATGTAGGATTTTATGATGTCTTCCGTTGACATGTGACATGTGTAGCTACACTAGTGACGTTTAACTTCATTCACAGTACCTATGTATATATTATTGTTATTATACCTAGACTAGACATTTTTACACCTAGGTACCCTAAAAGAGAGTTGTTTTAAGTTAGATGTATTTCGTCTGTGGCATCGATGTGTCCAATCGAAAAAACTTATTTCCAACAGTATTCCTTTTTTAATGTAGCTTAGTCGAGATGAATCGGGATCTATTCTACGATATAATGATAAGATCTTACTGATTTTTAAAAGAATGGAGTTTATTTTCATAGGTCTGGTCGATTTGCTATTTCGTGGTTATAGTGACCTTTACTTCTTCTCTTATTTTATAGTGAAAGATGGAGTTACATGCTTGTTCTTCTCTATTCAAAACTACACTTTGGAACGAGCTACTAGCTTCACTGACAGACAGACTGACGAACAATTCCATAAGTACTCACTTGTCGGCCGAGTGGTCGCCAATGCGACTGCCGGCCAAGGGGTCTTGATTCCCGAGTAGGGTTGCCATTTACCGGGTATAATTCCTTGCTACTACTGAGAATATTTAAAAAAACCAGTAATACTTTGCCCGACCCGGGAATCGAACCCGAGACCCCTTGCCCGGCAGTCGCACTTACGACCACTCGGCCAACGAGGCAGTCAGACTTATTATTGTCTTCCATAAAATATTTAGAAAGTTAAATTCATATTTTTCTGAGCAATGCAGCCAAAAATATACGCATCCATGATCCGAAAATTTAGGTTTACAACTTCCTTAAATTCAGTCAATTATCTTGAAGTGACATTAAAACAATACAACTGCAATAATAAATACATAACACTTTATCCCCGAAGGGGTAGGCAGAGGTGCACATTACGGCACTTAGTGTTACTACGGAGATTTTTTTTAAAACCCAAACCGAAGCCATCGGCCAACGAGGCAGACCATAATAAATACAATTCACAAAGAGCATAGACTACCAAGAACATCTAAGATTTCGTAGTTTTGATTTTAGGTAATATAGCTCTTTTATTTCGTACTTTTACAGTGTTTGGTTTGTTTTTATAAAATGTCCCTCAGTTCGGTGTGTCTTTTTACATAGGCCTCCTCCAGCTGCTTCCATTGCACTCTGGTCCATAAAGGTCCTAAGGCTAAACGAAAGTCGTCTTCCCATCTTCTTGTTGGACGTCCCCGTTGTCTGCTTCCGTCTCTTGGGTACCAGAGGGTTACCTGTTTACTCCATTTTTCTGTGTTACACCTTAGCATGTGACCTGTCCAGCGCCATTTCAGTTGGTCCGTTCAGGTAAGTATATCGTTGACTTTGGTTTTATTTCTTATTTTAGGTACATAAGATTATATTGATGCATAACTTACTGGTAAATAAATAATTAAATCAAAAGCATCTGGCTGCAGCATATGCAGAAGCAACCGGTATGTGCAAAGTTTCGTTTAATGCTAACTTTCCGTGGCGCCATACTTACACTTGGACAAACTTAGTCGCATAACAAAAGTTTATCTGCTATGTTACCATAGCAACGGTAGACAATCGGGACACAACCTGTTGCCCATTATATACCCTACAAATTGACTCAGTTGGTGTGAAAACCCCGGGTAACTGTGTAGATGTGATAAACATGATAAACATTGCTCCTTAGGGATCTTCATCATTTTTGCCAGATTACGCCGAACCCGAAACCAGAACTGGCAATTAGTCCATTTTAGTATGCACCCTTTGAACACGGAAAGTGGTGAACTGATTTGAATTGTTCACACATTTATGCAGTCTGATTTGTTCATTCAGTTTAATAGAATGTTTTGCGGTGTTTTTACCTATGCTCGAATGAATATCATCATATGTAGCACATTACTATACATGACTTGTTGGAGAAAAAAGAGACACTATACATCTGTATAGTGCTTTTGAAAATATCATCAGAAAGTTATTATGTTCACAGTCTTGAGAGATTGATAGTACACTTACATTATGTATACATACATATATATATAACGGCTATATGTAACAAAATTGAAATTGATGGATGAAGTTTATGATAGAAAATATAATTTAAATTTCAGAGTGTTCACAAACGACGGCCGCGACCGCGTCAAATACTTAGTGCAGGCGACATATCCATCAGAGAATTAATATTTTATGACACTCTCTCTTTAGTGTCATAACAATATATTGTGTTTTAGTGTGGGAGAGCCATGCTTCAGCAAAAATAGGCCGGCTCGACCGGAGTGATACCACGGCCTCACAGAAAACTGACGTGAAGCAATGCTTGCGTTGTGTTTCGTCATGTGAGTGAGGTTACCGGAGGCCCAATTAGCCCACTCCCCTTCCCCAATCCCCCATCCCCATCCCTGAATCCCTAACAAACTCCTAATCCCCAAAAGGCCGGTAACGCACTTGTAACGCCTTTGGTGTTCCAGGTGTCCATGGGCGATGCCGATTGCTTACCATCAGGTGACAAAACATACTAACATTTTATATCATAATTATTTTATATACTTTAATATTATTTCAGCATTTGGCTTAATAAGTATGGAACACTGTATCTCGACAGAGAATGAGAAAAGTATTAAACTAGCCCATTTTGTCAAGGCATGTCCTGATTGTTCGGATATTCCCAGAGATCCGGTATGTGGCATCCATCCAGATGGTGAAGGATTCAGAGTCAGATCATTTAACAACGAATGCGACCTCAAAAAGTACAATTGTGAAGTCAAAGAAAATTTTACAATCACAGATTACTTTATTTGTTCTAACAATCCGAATGCAGAAGCCAATGAAACAAATAACAATAAAGAGAGATTTCAAAATATGTTTAAAAAACATAAAGACTCTGCGAATGAACCAACTAAAGATGACAAACTTCCAACGATGATCGAAGAAAATAATACCAACAAATTTAAAAATATAGTGGTTTTACATGGACCTTCGTCACTAGCTGAAAATATTAATAAAACTTTTGCAGATTTCTTTGCGTTGACTCATACTTATGATATACCATTACAAAGCTTGAACCTAAGTTTCAACGATACTACAAGAAGAAAGATAATTAGAAATCTCGGTCCGGTCAAAGTGTTCAAACCTCAGTTTACTAAACCGAAAATAGTCAAGGAAGATTGGTGGCACCTGCCCACATTACAAACCTGTTATCATAAATGTCCAACGGTAAGGAAAGATATGTGGTGTATACGAAATTGACCCTGGTTTATGTTTTTATAATAACTATCGTGAGACATACTAAAGTAACTAAAAATCGTGGTTTACTCACGTGAATATATTGAGAAAAGCTCTACTTTATTAATTACTTTAATTTATCATACTTTCATGAAGTTCAAATTAACTTTTATGTAACAAATTGACATTTTACTTTCATTTTGACAATCTATCTTTGCTCATGTTTTGGACGAAAAATGCAATAAAATACCACCTAACCTCAAATAACCTAGGTTAAGGCTAGATTTCCTCTTCCCTTAAACTCCAAGACATGCATAAATAACAAACACAAATAATAAAAAGCATACAAACCATATAATAATAATAAATGCAGTAAACACTCTAGCTATGAGGAACCGAATACAACAAACGAATAGTTTATGGATAGCTTAAAACAAAAGCTCACAGCAGTAACAAATAGATACTATGAGTATACTCAGCATAAAAATCAAAACTCTCAATTCACTAATAGTAAAAAGCAGTTTTACAGAACCCTAGCTCAGTAGCTACAACAGACACACAAAGCCGACAACAGACGTCAGATAATCTTAGTTCGAACTCTGGACAGTTTCATACCTACTGGTCCAATATTTGGTCAAATGCATCAGAACACAACCATGCCGCTACGTGGATACGCGATGACAAACAAAAACTAGGAAATTTACCAGTTATGTTATTTGATGCAATCCCATTAGAAGTGTTTGTCAGCGTTATTACGAAAGCGCATAACTGGAAGGCCGCAGGTACTGACAAAATTCATAACTACTTATATAATAAATCAACTTATTTACATCCATCAATTTACAATTACATTAATAATTTTATCAAAAACCCTCAATCAATACCAGAATTCATTACACAAAGTTTAACTTACATGATCCCCAAAGACTCCGACCACGCGGGCCCAGCTAAATATAAACCTATAACTTACCTACCACAACATGTCTTGGTGGCCCGGAGGTTTAAGACGCCCGCTTCTCATGCATGAAGGTGAGGGTTCGAAACCTACCAACGGCAAGTACCAATGTGACTTTTTCCGAGTTATTTGTACTTTCTAAGATTATTCAGACACTACTGACAAACGGTGAAGGAAAACATCTTGAGGAAACCTGGGCTTATAATTTCTAATTATAAGTTTGTAATCGTCAACCCGCATTGAGCAAGCGTGGTGATTAATGCTCAAACCTTCTCCATGTGAGAAGAGGCTTTGCTCAGCAGTGGGCATTTATAGGCTGTTGATGATGATGATGATGAACTTACCTACAAACTATATACAAATTAATTACCGGTTGTATCTCAGAAATAATATATAAACATATTACATATAGTAACATTCTATCGGAAGAACAAAAAAGATGTCATAAATACAGCCAGGGGTGTAAGAACAATTGATAATAGATTCCATAGCTATGAAGTACAACGTTAAATTAAAAACCGATATCTGCACTATGTACGTCGACTGTGACGTCGACTATCAGAAGGCTTTTGACTCAGTCCCACACAGTTGGTTAGTCTACATATTACACCATTATAAAATCCATCCGTCTATCATACAATTCTTGACAGAATCCATGAAAAGTTAGGAAAATTAATAGAAACAGACCCTATATCCATTAGACGAGGAATTTTCCAGGGGGATGCTCTAAGCCCTCTCTGGTTTGGCCTTGCCTGCCTTAAATCCCCTGTCTAACCTTCTCAACTCCTTTACAACTGGCCTCACAATACAATATAATGACTCCACAGATCTCAAATTAACTCATCTAATGTTCATGGATGACATCAAACTGTAAATTAATAGTACACCTGGACTCCACACTCTTGCAGATCTCACACAAACTTGCTCGGATGAGATACGCATGACCTTTGGTATCGACAAATGTAAAACATTTACCCTTTGTAAAGGGCAGCATATTGAACATAACCCATACATATTAAATTCAGGACAATCCATTGAACCAATGACACAAAATTGTACATACAAATATTTAGGCTTTGAACAAACATATCAAATAGATCAGAAATACACTAAGAATAAAATAATCGCTAAATACAAACACAGGCTTAATATATTGATAAGATCGCAGTTAACATCCCGTAATTTAATTAAATCCATCAACTACTTCGCCATTCCCGTACTTACCTATTCTTTCGGAATCATAAACTGGTCAAAAACTGTTCTCACTAAGTTACAACGGCTAATAAATTCATCTTTGACCACTAATAAAAAACACCACCCAAGATCTTGTGTGCAAAGACTCACATTACCGCGAGACCAAAGAGGACGAGGCCTATTAGACATCACAAATTTACGTAATCAGCAGATTGTTAATTTGAGAAAATTCTTCATGTACATATCTCAAAATAGTCTTTTTAACAAAGCAATTTCCCAGATAGATAGAAAATATACTCCACTTAATTTAAATTCTACTGACCCTCAACGTAATTAATCCATAACTAGCAAATCAAATAAAATAGCAGTTTGGGCACATAAATCTCTCCACGGAAGACATCGCCTCGACCTGCAGCAACCGCATGTCGATATGAAGCCATCGAACGCGTGGCTGCGGCGAGGTGAACTCTTCCCTGAAACGGAGGGATTTATGATTGCCATTCAAGACCAGGTTATCGACACAGCCAACTATCAAAAATTCATTATCCGTAGACCCAACTATAATGACTACTATAGACGATGTCACGGTGCCTCAGAAACTATCCAACATATCACAGGTGCATGCCGAGCCATAGCCTAGACTGATTACAAACACCGCCATGACCATGTTGCCGCAATAATTCACCAATCCCTAGCCCAAACCCCACTAAGATGGGAGAATTATAAACGGTTCAAGAAATAATTAACACTTTTTTAAATAATAATTCAATAATAATCAACACTTTACACCATTTACACAAGACACGAACAAGAAAATAGCAGGTAGGTAATAAAAATTAGTTTGGCATGTTGTACAATGGGCGGCCTTATCGCTTCCAGGCAATCTTTTTTTTAATGGGGAATGAGAGCAATTAACATGTGGGTAGTTCATGGTGTTGAATTAAATACAATGGATATGACAAAACAGTTTAGATACATACATACATGCCTTCATACTCATATATATATATATATATTATATACATACATTGTACAGTGGCATTAAGTACCGTAATGTGCACCTCTGCCTACCCCTTCGAGGATAAAAGGCGTGATGTTATGTTTTTTTTTTATATACATACATACATACATACGGATATGTGATAGCAGTTACGCTATTGAATCTGTGTTAGATAATGATCTTTTTCTTGTTTTTTAAACGAATCTAAAGATTGCGATCGTCTTATTGATACTGTGAATGCGTTCAACAGTCGAATGGCCCTTACAACAAAGGATGTATGTAGCCCCACAACCACATAACCAAAAAGCGACTACAAACTATACCAAATCCACTCAAAGCTACTGATTGCCATTTATACAGGCAGGTATTGTACTTGAAACTTGTCAATACGGCGAGTTATGAGGAGTTTAATTACCGTTCCTTTGTGATGTGGAGCCGTGGAACGCGAGAGTCCAGTTGCGTTATAATTAATGTCTGGTCGCCACGGTCCGACTGACAATGATGTTGACAATCGAATTGTAATTAATTTTCCCGACACTACGATCACTAGAAGCGGATGTTGCGCGTCTACATGCATAATAAACATATAAATTATACACGTTGTTGCCCGCGACCTTCGTCTGTGTAGAATAATGAATTTGGACAGTATTTGGGCTTTTAAATTAGTCTTTACCAAGTTATACTTTGTTGTTTCTTTGTTCTTGTCATTACTCTTTTTAGTTTATTATCATTGTTTTGTATTACCTATATAAGTATATGCATTTCTTCTTTCCATTTTTATTTTGTATTATTTTTTGTATCTGTGTGCGTGCCAACTGTCAAATAAATGCTTTTTCTTTCTTTCTTTTTTTCTTTCTATCTATTGACTTGTAAATTCACTTGTCAAGAAATTGTCGGATGACCTATATATCTTTACTAATATTATAAACTAGCTTCTGCCCGCGACTTCGTTCGCGTAATCCCATTTTTTCCCGTCCCCATTCGTGATTTTCGGTAAAGAGTAAAAAAAAAATTTCGTTAATAAGTATCCTATGTCGGTCTCCTGGCTCTAAGCTACCTCCCTACCAATTTTCAGCCAAATCTATTCTATCGTTCTTGAGTTATAAGTGGTGTAACTAACACGACTTTCTTTTATATATATAGATTTGTGTATGTCTGTTTGCTCTTCCGTCTTTAAAGACAGGACGCAGCTAGAAATTAACGTGTTTTTTATTGGAGTTGGTCGAAGGATGGTGAGTGTAGCGTGGGTTACTTTTTGCCTCTTTCTGATCCTCCACTTCTCTAAAATGGCGGGTGGAAGTTTGTATATAGCATTGGTATGTGGACTATTTGTGAGCAGTAAAAAAAATCATGCACCATTTCTAATATTTTTTAAACCTATCCCTAACCTCTCAGAAGCTGGTTGATGAATGAAATGTATTCAATTTACTTGTTTTTTTAGAGTAAAGCTAGATAATACCATGTTTTACTCAAAAGCAACATTTAAATATGCGTCAATAGATTACACACTGTCACAGGATGCGTCAGAGATTTAGAGCTCCTCTCCCGTAGATGATATTGTAATAATATGATATATGTCGACACGACCTAGTAGTGATACTTATGTTAAATTTGATATAAATTCATGCAGTACTTTTTAAGTTCATTCCAGTCATATTTCCCGTCTTCAATTTTTAATTTTTTTGTGTTATTGTACTTTGAGACGGTGTGCAAATAAACCATTTTTCTTTCTTTCTTTACATACATACAGACAAACAAGCAAACTGACAAAAAATTCTAAAAATCATATTTTTGTTCGGATACCAAAGTATCGATTAAAGATCACATCCCAAGTATTCTTCAAAAACATCGTCAATGTTTTGACTTTTCTACAATTTTATTGTTATATGTATGTAAAAGATAGATAGAAGATTGTGTAACACGCATTTAATTATAATTAGTCGGGAATTATTTTGTGGTAGTTTCAGCCTTTCTCATCAGTATGCAGTAGGACAATTTTATATAGGCTGCTGATTGGTCACTGATGATTTCTTTATGTGTGTTCAGAAATGTCCAGATTATTACAAACCGATATGTGGAGTAAATGCGATATGGACCAAGTGGCCTGCTATCGTATTCCAGAACCACTGCTTCATGGACGCAGCTCAGTGCAAGATTTACTGGGACGATCCGGAGTATGGTGAAGAAACTACAGGTATGTATTTTCCTAATTTTATCTATTAAGCTCAACTATATTAAGTAGGACTCATTGATCTTTTTTAAGAAAATTGTAGATCAAGGAGTTTTCCCGGATTAAATGAAACATAGTAAAGTAGTTCCATTTTTTAAATACGGTAATAGCCCAGAACCTAATAACTATAGGCCGGTCTCTATTTTACCAGCGCTCAGCAAAGTGTTTGAAACATGCTTTCTCAGTCACTTTTACATGAATTCTATCTTTCATGATCAACAATACGGATTCACCAAAGGTCGCTGCACTACTGACGCGGGAGTAGCTCTAATTAAGCGGGTGTTCGCCTCTTGGGAAGAAGCACGGGATGCCATCGGAATATTTTGTGATCTTTCGAAGGCATTCGACTGTGTTGAACATGAGACACTATTGCTAAAGCTGAAACACTACGGCATTCGGGGGACGTCGCTAAATCTGTTGAAATTATACCTTCAGGACAGGCAACTTAAAGTACAAGTAAATAAAGTAAATTCACAGGGTGCTAGCATATCTATGAATGTACCGCAGGGCTCGATACTAGGTCCATTCTTATTCTTAGCGTACATAAATGACTTCCCCCAATTATTTAAAAATGAACCGCAGATGGTATGAATTGCTGATGACACTTCATTACTTTTTAAAATAAATAGATGCACAAATAGTTTTGAC